CCCAGATAAGATCTAGGGAGTGTTATAAGGTCAAGCCTAATTATGCTAAGAGGACTGTGCCATCTAAGCTGGGACTTGTTTGTGGCTTTGCCCACAGATCAGTCTGAGGCTTAACCCTGTAGCCTCGCCCTACATGTCTTGATGCCATTAATTGTGTCAGCCCCATTAGTTAACAATAGATGTTATAGGAAAATAATCCATTTATCTTTAAAGTTTATACGAAGGACTTCCACTGTGCTCAGGCCTCACCAAGCTTTTATAGTGAGCGGTAAACAAGGTAGTGGTTATTCAATTGTTTTAGTTCTTGTGAGTTTCACTTGTTTACACCATGGTTATACTTCCTGCACTTCCTCAGCCCATTAGCTTCCCAGATAAGATCTAGGGAGCCTCCTAAGGTCAAGCCAATTATGCTAAGAGGACTGTGCCCTCTAAGCTGGAAATTGTGACTTTGCCCACAGATCAGTCCTAGGCTTAACCCTATATCGGCTCCCTACACTGTATGAAGAACATAGGTAAAGAACAGAGCAGAATAGGACAAAAAGTACATTCATCTTTGAAAAATGATTTGCTTTGATAAGCTGGGGACTTGAAAGCAGAGAGGGCCTCCTGCTGTAAAGCAACAGATGCATAGGTAGTGATATGCATAGTAATCAACTAGCATGAGTTTTGGATTGTTAAAAGAAGAAAACAGAGTGGGCCTTAGCTGGTTTGGCTCATTGGATAGAGCGTCCGCCTGTGGACTAAAGCGTCCTGGGTTCAATTCCAGTCCAGCCACATGCTCATCTGTTAGGAACTTAGATTTTCAAACTATTTCTGCCTATTTGACCCCTAGTAGTGGACATGCAGGAGGCAGCCGATGAATGATTCTCATCATTGATGTTTCTATCTCTCTCTCCCTCTCTCTCTTTGAAATCAATAAAAAATATATTAAAATTAAAAAAAGGAGTGGAACACTAATTTAACCAGCAGTTCCCAGGGCCTCTCAGAAATCCGGAGACTTAGGCCATTGCCATGTTTTAGGGCTCACATGATATTAAAATAAAGAAGAAGAAATACCAAAACATAGTTACAAAAATTGTGAGATGTTTTAAAATATTTTATATTTAACACATTAATATCTTATATACACACACCACAAAACACATAGGCTACGGGGAGTATAGCACTTTTATTAAGTATTAATTGAGCACTACAGATGTTAAACTATCCCAGTTTAACATTGCGTCCTTAAAAACATCTTTTTTCCTTTTCTCCAAATCTTATCAATATCTCTGACCATTTTGTATATAGCTTATTTGGCAGTAACATCAAATGTTTATCCCGTGATCCTGGCAGCTCCTAGTAAACATTTTCTTAACCTAAACACCAAGGAACCCAACTATCTAGGTTTCCTACCTAAAGTCAGACCTAGTGCCCTGTGTTTTTAAGATGGGGGTGAAGAGTCATTTGGGAATCTGATGAAAGCTCTGGTCCTTAACTCCGGACACATCCTCTCCCCCAAATTGTACACATACAACAAAAATTATGTGTACAATTGGGGCTTGGGGACTAGGTACCCTGTAAAATCCATCCAAACAGACTATGCCGGCAGTGATGGCGAACCTATGACATGCGTGTCAGAGGTGACATGCGAACTCATTTTTTTGGTTGATTTTTCTTTGTTAAATGGCATTTAAATATATAAAATAAATATAAAAATATAAGTCTTTGTTTTACTATGGTTGCAAATATAAAAAAAATTTCTATATGTGACACGGCACCAGAGTTAAGTTAGGGTTTTTCAAAATGCTGACACTATCACTGGACTATGGGCTCTTAGTTAAGAACTTCTCCTCTGAAGGGTTCTCCCCCAGGATTTTATTATTACTCCATGAAGACATGACTCAGGGATTGAAGGGTGTCGGAGGGCTCAGAAACAACGAATTGACTTGGTGGCGGTGTGCGTGTGCGGAAGGGTGGGAGGCCTGCCAGCCCTCGGGACCACGTGGTGAACAGGAAAGGCCCAGCTTGGGATAAATACCCCAGCACCGGGTGCGTCAGCGCCCACACCACCCCTAGACCCCGCCTCCGCGTTGCCTGGCAACAGCCGCGCTGGAGGCAGGTGAGTCAACGTGCCCTGGAGCGCTCGTGGTCCCCTCCCGCTCGGGGTAGCGGTGGGAACCGCTGTCCCGGCTGCTGGCTCTCTTCGCCCCCAGCCCCCGGAGGAGGCGTCCCAGTCGGGAGTCCCTCGCCAGGGGTCTGAGGACGCCGTCACCTGAAGGTCGAGGCTGAACATCATGCAGGTCGGAGTCCCAGCCGCGGGCCACTCCGGGGCACCGGCCGAGCTCCCGGCCGGGCTTGAGGCTGAGCGCCCGAGGGGAGGGCGGCGCACCGGGGCTGGGTCTAAGGTTTACTTTGGTAAGAGCTAAATTTTGCGTGAGTCTCTAGATTTGAGAGACATCCAAATTAACTCTAGGAGAGCACCATTCCCGGCCCCCACCCCACCCCCAAGGTTTGTCGCTGGGGGTTAGTTGTTTGAGATTGTGTTTCACACCTGAATCTTGGAAATCTCACTGCTGCACGATTTCTGACTTAAGAAATAGACCAGCAGCTTTAGCCCAAGTGTAATTCAATTTAAATATTCTGCCCCGCTACCTTAGACAACCATCGGAACGAAAATACTGGTTGCATCTATCTTGAAAAAGACCAGGTGTCCCTGAAGTTTCTCCTGCCCGGTCACAAAAGCTCTGTTAGGCTTCCATTGATCCCTTAGGTCCCGAGGCTGCTCCGCTCTGTCTAAAGACCCTTATTAACCAGATGCCTGTGCTCTTGTTTCTTTATTAGAGTAAAATTCTCACTTTCTGACTTGGAGAAACAGTTTCTTCCCACCTGCTTCTCCAAATTAAAACTACTGTGATTTTTCTTGTTTTACATATTTAATTTTGGCATTCATATATACCACCTAATTTATTAGGATATTTTAAACATAAACTACATATAAATTTAGTGGATAGCCCTTTTGTGTTACTGATAGGTTTCTAGCAAGTACATTTTATCTAGTGTACGAAGACATTTACATACACTGAAGTAAGTAACCCAAAAGGAAATTAAGAAAATGATTCCATGTATGATCACATCAAAAAGAATAAAATCCTTAGGAATAAATGTAATCAAGGAGGCAAAAGAATTGTACACCGAACACTACAAAACATTGCTAGAAAGACATTAAAGAAGACATAACTAGAAAAACATCACACCTTTGTAAATTGGAAGACATAATATGGTTAAGATGTCAAAACTTCCCAAAGCAATCTACAAATTCAGTGTAATCTCTATCAAAATAAAGTCCTAATAAAAATTGTTGTTGTTTTATTTTGGCTTTAAATGAAGAATTTGCTTAAACTCTGGTGGCAGATATTGATAACAGGGGAGGCTATGCATTTGTGGGGACAGAAAGTATACGGGAAATCTCTGTACCTTTCCCTCAATTTTGCTGTGAACCTAAAACTGCCCTAAAATATTGTCTTAATTTAAATTTTAAAAAATAAAATATAAAATGGACAAAGAACTTGAATAGACATCTCTCCAAAGAAGATATACAATGGCTAATATAAACATAAAACATGCTCAATATCATTAATCATTAGAGAAATGTAAATAAAAACCACCATGAGAGACCACACCCATTCGAAAAACTATTATTAAAAACAGAAAATGACAAGTGCTGGTGAGAATATGAAGGAATTGGAACCCTTGTGCATTGCTGGTAGGATTGTAAAATGTGTAACTGCTATGGAAAATGGTCATTCCTTTAAAAATTATACATAGTATTATATGAACCAGCAATCCGACTCCTAGGTATATTCTCAAAAGAATTGAAAGCAGGAACTCAAAAAGATATTTTATGCATAAGGTCATAGCAGCATTATTCACATTAGCCAGGTGGAAACAGCCCAAATCTTCATCATTGGATGACTAGAAAAACAATCTATGTTGTGAACACACAATGGAATATTATTCAGCCCTAGAACAGAAGGAAATTTTGATACATGCTTCAACATGGATGATCTTTGAAAAAATTATGTGAAGTGAAGCCAGTAACAAAAGGACAGATATAGACATGTGCTGTAAAATGACCTTTTGGGTCAACAATGGACTGCATAAATGATGGTGGTCCCATAAGATTATAACGGAGGTGAATTCCCTGTAAGAAATGGAAAGAGACGGTTCAAGAGGAATGTTTTTTTTTTTCTGATGAGAACAATATCTGGGAACTTGGCAATAGATTTCCTCTCACTGCAGCTCAATTTTGAGTGTGCAGTTTACATCCCAATCAACTACTGGCCTGTTTCAGCATAGAGGAGCCTATCTCCCTAGGACTACATATTCAGAGGGTTCTACAGTCCTCTCACATCTAGCTTGATGGTCTTCTGAGTACACTGCTGTAATTCTTTGTTGAGGAACTAAAATCCTATACAAGGACACAGGTCCACAGGAACCATTATAAGTATTAAGTGCTGCTGCCACTTTAGTACGAGCTTTCTGTGGTAGTATGGAGCCAGCCTGTCCCTATACTTTGGAAATATTTTCAGACTGTATTGATGCAAAGCATGCGTTTCATTTGTTCCATCAATTCAATGCTAGAGAGACCCCTTTTTTTGCCAGATAGGGTCAATGGAACCAAAAATAAATTTCCGAAGTCAAACTATTGAGTCTTCAGTTCTACATCCTTTCCATGTTAAATACCCTCTTTTTAAAAAATGAATACCACAAAGTTCATTAATCTGACTTCTGCTCCAACATGCATAGCCAAAGCCACATTGCCACGGCAATCCCTTATGCCCCTTGATTTCTTATTTCTACTACTAGAGGTCCAGTGCATGAATTCATGCATGGGTGAGGTCCCGGCTGATCAGGGCCTGGCTGGCTGGGGGGAGGGGCCATGGGTGATTGGCTGGTGGGCCCTGCCCCTGATTGGGGTTGGGGGCCAATTGGGGGTGGGGCTTCCCATGGCAAGGGCTATGGATGTGGGCAGGCCAGCCCTGCCCCTGAATGGGGTAAGGGGTGCCGATCAGGGGCCAGTGGCCTGGGGGAGGGGCTGTGGGCCAATCAGGGTGGTGGGGGTCCATAGGGAGCGAGGCCAGCTCTGGGAGGGACTGTGGGAGGTTGGCTGACTGGCCCTGCCTCCTATTGGGGTGGGGAGGGGAGATCAGGGGCGGGGCAGCCAGGGGAAGGGGCTGTGGGGCAATCAGCGTGGTGGGGGCCCATCTGGGGTGGGGCTGGCCAGGGGGAGGGGCCACTGGAGGTTGGCTGGCCGGCCCCACCCCCTGATCAGGCCTGTTCCCTGGCCACAGTGAGCGTCATAGCCACCAGTCATTACGGCGTTATGGTCGCTGGCTTGTTATATACATAGATTCCTCAAAGCATCATATACTCCCTCCTGACAGGCACCATTATGGTAATCTAAGCCTTAGCCAGCCAGTTTCTCTTAAATATTTCCCATCAGTCCAGCCCACATCCCTGTTCATGGAGCAGCACTGGCAGCTTCATTGTCCTATTTCTGACCCTGTTGGAAGGAAGGAGGGGTGGGCTTGTGGGACAATGTTTATAAAATCTACAGTAGTGTTCAGCAATGGCAAATTGCTTCATCAAAGCCAGCAAGTGATAGCGAGTGCTGGCAAGATAGAAGTTACAAGCTCTGGAATTCAATCACAGAAATGGTATTCCTTCACTTTTGCCATATTCTATTGGTTAACAGCATGGCACAGTTCCCACCCATCATCAAGGAGAGGAGATTATTCAGGGATGTGAAAAGCAGCAGGTGGAGCTCATTCCGGTGATCTTATAGTTTGTTTGCCACAGTATTCACTCCCTTCTTTTGGAAATATCAGAAAAAAAATGGATGGCAAACCAGAGAAACAATAGTTAACATATGATTGACAACTTCCGGAAAAGCAGGGGAAAAAAATCAAATCCTAAGTAATAAAGAAAAAAAAGGCTAACTTTCGCCGAAACCGGTTTGGCTCAGTGGATAGAGCGTCGGCCTGCGGATTGAGGGGTCCCAGGTTCGATTCCAGTCAAGGGCATGTACCTGGGTTGCGGGCACATCCCCAGTGGGAGATGTGCAGGAGGCGGCTGGTCGATGTTTCTCTCTCGTCGATGTTTCTAGCTCTCTGTCTCTCTCCCTTCCTCTCTGTAAAAAATCAATAAAATATATATTTTTTAAAAAGGCTAACTTTCACAGAAAGAAATTGTGATTAGACAGAAATGGAACTATAAACAGATTCCTGGCCTCTTCTAAAATTTAACCAGGGAATATGGATCCTAAGAAACGGTATAGCTGAAAAGAGAAGCGAGTGCACCTGGAGGTGGTGAATGTGTATGTAGAAATAGCAACAAAACAGTATTTGTTCATGGTGTGAATTGGTTTTGTCTACTATATTCACCAGAGAATATTCCTTCACTTTTTGAGTTTACTTCATTAATATTTGACGTGTTCTAAATTATTGTTTGTTCTTATTAAACACCTCAGTGTAATTTTGAGGGTAGAGAATGTATCCTGTTTATCAAACTGTGTAGTTCCATTAGTTCTGGGAAATGGGAAAAAGGAGGTCACTTTGGTTTTAGTCTTTGAAACTAGTTATATGTTTACCTGTAGAATTCAGTGTATAGTTGGAAATGCTACATATTAATTTTACGCATAATAAAATACACAACTATGTTAATAGATTTTCTATTTTTATATAGGATCCAAATGAAGATACAGAATGGAATGAAATTTTAAGAGATTTTGGCATTCTTCCTCCAAAAGAAGAGCCAAAAGATGAAATTGAAGAAATGGTTTTACGTTTACAGAAAGAAGCAATGGGTATAGTTGTGCATTTGGTGGGCTGGATGAAGGGGGTAATACAGTTATGTTACTGATAGTGTATTTCATGAATTTCAAGGGAGAGAGGACATTAGAAATCATTTAGTATGTCCCACCATACTTTTGCTGATACCTAAAATTCTTAATTCATGTGTTAAAAATTCACATGCCAGTTAATAACAGAGCTGAAATGTCCTGGTATGTAACCTAGTGAGCTTTTTTTTCTCTAGATCATAATTTTTTTTACCATGTGATTACCTTATATTTTGATTATTCTATGTAGTATATATTATTTGTCAAGATTTCCTGGAACATGGGAAAATCTAAATTTCTGAGGTCTAATTTATTTTTACATCTACTTTTATTTTTTAAAATATATTTTATTGATTTTTTTACAGAGAAGAAAGGAGAGGAACAGAGAGTTAGAAGCATCGATGAGAGAGAAATATCAATCAGCTGCCTTCTGCACACCCACTTCTGGGGATGTGCCCACAACCAAGATACATGCCCTTAACCAGAATCGAACCTGGGACCCTTGAGTCCGCAGGCCGATGCTCTATTTACTGAGCCAAACCAGTTAGGGCTTTACATCTACTTTTAAATGTAGCCTGGTAGTTCTGTGAACTCTGAGGGAGTAATAATATTTAAACAAAACTAAAGCAGTTAACCACAAAATAGCTTTATATATTGCAAACACTGCAACATTAAAGATAGTCTTGATCTTCACTTATCTAATATATCTTTTTTCTAGACATGTGACTATAAAGTAAAATTAATATTTAAACAATTCAACTGCTTACAATTTATATTGTTTTAGTTAAACCATATGAAAAGATGACTCTTGCACAGTTGAAGGAGGCTGAAGATGAATTTGATGATGAAGATATGAGAGCTATTGAAACATATAGGTACAGTGATTCATTGGGGTAATTTATGAGTTTTGGAATGAAGAATTGTAAAAATGAAACTAAGATAAAGCCCTATTTTGTCTACAGAATAGATTTTAAAAATAACAAAACTAATTTTTAAGATTTTAAAACTAACATATAAAGTAGAATTTTTCCTGAATTTTTTTTGCCTTTGCTTGAATTAAAAACTATCCAATAATGTACCATAGGACTTCATCAAGTGATACATGAGTAAAGTGGAAAATATCAATAAGCAGCCAATAAATAGAGAGCCATGATGTTCCTTCTTTCATGATGCCTGTCAATGGTTTCTATAATTTAATAATTAATTGCCAGTCATGAATTCTCTCAGAAATTAGAATAGGTGCATACATTACCCAACTTATCTTGATTCTAAAAACGGACAAAGAGATTATAAAAATGTTATGCCAGAGGAAGATATCACTTATGAATACAGGCACAAAAATTTAAACAAAATATTTGCAAATTAAGTCTAGCAATTTTTTAAAAAAAATAATAAACTTTGGAGAAGTAGTCGTAGGAATGCAAGGTTGTCTTAACATTAAAAAACAAAAACAAAAGCAAAAACAAAAAAAAACAGTAAATTGTGTTAGAAGCAGCAATGTCAAGTCACAGTGAACATACCTGGCACTCATAAAAATTGAACTAGTGTTCCTTGGAAAACTGCTTTATTCCACATTGTGAGTTGTGAAAGTACAGTACATGTCTTGAGCATCATATGGTTCCAGCAAGTAAAGAAGTGCTAAAAAAAATAAAAAAGTTTAAGGTATAGAAGCCAAACTAAAAGATCTCTCAATGACCAGAGTTGCAACAACTTGAACAACAAAAAGATAAAATATTAGATTATAAAATAAATAATAAAATATCCATGAGTCCATAATGATATAAGTAATTAACTGAATACATGAACGAATTCAAAAGAAATAACACTTCTCCCTCACTAAAGAATTCCAATTAATAAGTGTATATGGAATGAGGAAAATAGAAAAATCATCATTATATCACCATAGCAATAAATTCTTGATGAGCAAGATCTGCTGATAGATGCTAAAACGAGTGGATGAAATTTTAAGTAGAAGCATGGTATTTGCATAATCTCAAAGTATTTCCCCCTCCAAATATTTAGTAACTATACGGAAATAGTAAGTTTACAATGTAGAGTTTTGGCTGATTCCATCTTAGGGAAATGATCAAGGTTAAAATGATCAATAATACATGTTGACATTAAGTAACTTGATATGATGTGCTGAAGATGACACATCACCTCTGTGGTGTCCTTTTTAATAATTAATCATCTCAATCTAATAAGAAGACACCAGAAACCAAAATTTGAGGAACTTTAAAAAAACTGACCAAGTTGATGTCAGGAAAGATGGCAGAATAGAAAACTCCAGAAAGCCATCTGTTTACCTAGACAACAATTGCATTGGCTGAAAATGTCTGAAGTGACAGCTTTGGAACTCTGCAGTCTATTTGGACACTTGCAGCTTCCAGGATAAAACTTGGCTGGTAAATTGCAGTTAGTAGTGGCTGACTTCAGTCCTTAGTTGGTGATAGCTATCCATCTCTCACCCTCTAGTTCCATGGCAGGCTCCTGTTTGGACAGCAACCGTTATTTCTGGTAAAGCTTGCTGGAGCAGGGTGAGCAATAAGGACTTTGTGTTCTGATTGTGGAGTGCTGCTTCTGAATGCAGAGGTTCCAGGCACAGAGTTTGGGTATCACTGTGTCAACCCCATTGGCTCAGGGGGATTCCAGAGCATTTAAGGGAGCCACCTCTATTTTTTATGGACATTAAAAAACAACCATATATATGGGGGAATTTAAATGCCTTGGAAAAGATGAAGGCTCACAGAAGATGTTATGGTTTCATCTCAGGCTGATCCCTAGCTAGGGACACCTTACAATAATAATAAAACAAACCATGGGAAAGGAGGAGAATCTGATTTCCAGAGTTATCACATTATATGAATCAAATGTTCAGTTTCAACAAGAGAATCGCAAAGAAATGGGAAAATGCGGCCCATTCAAGCTGTCTTCCAAAAGCTGAACCATTTTGCGTTCCTACCACCAGTGAATGAGAGTTTCTGCTGCTTCACATCCTCTCTGGCATTCGGTGGTGTCAGTGTTCCAGATTTTGGCCATCCTCTTTGGTGTGTAATGGTTTCTTGATTTATTTGCATTTTCCCGAAGACATAGATGTGGAGCACCCTTTCATAGGCTTATTTGTCATCTCTGAATCTTCTTCGGTGAAGTGTCTATCAGGCCTTTGGCCTATTTTTAAGTCAGATTGTTTTCTTATTGTTGCATTTTTAGAGTTTTCATATATTAAGGACAACAGTCCTTTGTCAGGTGTGTCTTTTGTCATTTTCTCCCAGTAACTGCTAAGGAGATAGGTTCCTAGAGAGAGCAGTTGTTACAGCCATTTTCTGATCCCCAGAGGAATTAGGTTCTAGGGCACAATTGGAACAGTAGTTCCAATTTCCCAAGTTTCTGGATTGTAGCAGAGAAACCTGTTCCCTTGGCAGACCAATTTTGCAATGTTGCTCAGGGAGTCATTTTGATAGCCCAGTTTAGAGCCCCCTCCTTTCCATTGAGTTTGTAAATCACTTAATTTCACAGATTAAGCTTCTTGCTGCTTAAAATATCTAGGACTTTCTTCAACTGAGTCCCACCTGATATGATTGTTGGGTGTAAAATGCAGGCTACTGAGCATTAAATCACTTCCTGATGGCAACACTAACCCAGGTCTTTCTGTCTCTCCCTGCCTAATTCCATTGACATAGCAAAGAACAATGAGGAAGAGAGGTGGAAGAGGGGAGGAGAAAGAGATATAGTTGGTAGTTGCACCATTAAGTAGGGAACACAAACTTTTTGAAAATTTTGAAAGATATTAAGCCAGTGAGTCAAATTGAGGAATTTGATATTAAATACTCAGTGCCAAAAAATCAGCTCCCAGAAGATCTTTGGAGGAACTAAACTCTGAATATCTGGGTCAGTAGAGGGAAAATGGAAGGACTTCAGTTTGAAAATTGTGAGAGGGGCCCTCCCTAGATGTGGGTCATTATTCTTGGCATTCTCCTCTAGGCTTCATTTTGCTTGGATTACTTGTTACGTAGAGTGGTTTCACCTAACATGTTTCTAATTAGTAAAATAAGGACAGAGTGTTTTTAAAATATAGCCAGGATTTTGTATCTATTCATGTAGAGTGAAGCCAACAGATCAGGAGATAATTGACATTGAAAAGAGTTTTTTACTCAGAGTTCTCAAGAACAGGGAGCATGCACCACAATACAAGACCCCACAGGGGAGCACTGGAGTTGGTTGAGAGGCAGGAGTGAAGGGATGCCATGGGCACCCGCCTTCATTGTGGTTTCCGTGGGAAAGACAAGCTAAGCAGGGTAAGCAGATTTAGGATTGGCTAGCTTGAATAATTTTGGCAGGCTGTGGGCTACAGTGACTGTCTCTAGTTGTCTGGTATCCAGCCCAGGGATAATTAGGGCAGAGGGTTAGTGGCTCAGTTTAATAAAGAGGTGATTGAGGGATTGGGCTCTGGACTGGTCGGTTTGCATCTGAGGAATTTGCTGTCCTGCAGGAGGTTGCTATCTTTCAGAATTAGCTAGACCTGGGAGGGATAGTCTGTCCAGGATCAGCAAAGGCAAGAATACAGAAAATAAGAAAATATAGTTAATACACAGAAAGAAGGGAAGAAAGTATTCCCAAGATAACTTAGGGATATATAATCGGTAACTTTTAAGACATTTGCACATCAGAAAACATTTAGATCTGCTTCATGAATCCGAGCATTCAACAACTGAATCAGAGTATGTAAATTTTGAGAATTGATTAAGAAAGCTTTAAGGCTCTCTGTGGATGAATAACTAGGTAACATGGAATGCTCACTGTGTGCTAGGCACCATCCTAAGAAATTTACCTGTATTATCTCATTCAATTCCCAACAACCCCATGCAAATAGGTATTGGTATTATTCTCCTTGCAAAAGCTTAGAGAAATCAAATAACTTGCCCAAATTCATGCTGCTAGTAACTAGGAACTGGTATTTAAACCTAGTCGAGTCTCACCGTAGAGTTCAAACTCATCATTCTTCTTTATCACTTCTCTACCTGTAATAAATTTTATAACAAGTAATTATACATATTCACAAAGGCTTTAGACTGAAGGTCAGTTTAGCATGATAGTTGAGAGCACATAAATAGGGATAAAAATAATTTAACTTTACACAGCTTTTTGCAAGGATAAGCTAATGTAATGCACTTAAAATAGTGCCTGGCAACATAATAAGCACTCCATAAATGTTAGCCATTGTTATGATTATTATATACAAGTATTTAACCTGTATAGGAGAATTTGTTGGTTCAGTATCTAAATAAACTCTCTATAGCTATGATTAAGACCTAGTCTTAAATAAAAATAAATTTAGAAGTCAGTCGCTAACTTCTTACTTGCAACACTAATGACAACACAGATTTCCATATAAACAGATAAATTGGCATTATAATGCCATTTTAATAGTTATTCTGTAATTTTTTAAGTGTTTGATATGTACTAGCATTACATTCATTACCCTAAATTGTTACTGTAGATGGGAATGACCTTAAGAATATAACAATTTTATTATGTAATTTTATTTTTTTAATTAGAGAAAAGCGGTTACAGGAATGGAAAGCTCTTAAGAAAAAACAAAAATTTGGAGAGTTAATAGAAATTTCTGGAAATCAATATGTGAATGAAGTCACAAATGCAGACAAAGATGTATGGGTTATAATTCATCTATACAGGTCAAGGTAATTACCTTTTTGTAAAATATTAATATACTAATGTTTTAAGAACATATCACTGGTTTTTAGGGTTTATAAAGCATATAACAAAGACTACTCACAAAAGAAAATAAGAATATATGTATAGAGTCATTGGCTATAGGGATTAAATTAGGTATTTTAATATATTTTCTTGTTTAATTTTAAAAACTTGACATACTTTTTAGAAAAATAAGCAGTCTTTAGCAGTTAATTTAAATAAAACATATGGAAAATTTCAAACGTATAGAAAAATAGATATAAGGATAAAATGAGCCCCCTAAATATTGGCCAGGTAGATTCAACAGTTAACATTTTGCCATATTTGTATCATTTGGGTGTTTTTACAGAATGATTTAAAAGTAAATTACACACACCAAGACACTTTTAAGTACCTTAGCATGCATTTTCAAAACATAAGGGCATTTTTCTATATCACCATAATACCATTTTCTCACCTAACAAAATTAACAATCATTTTTAATAGTGTCTAATATCCAGCTCTTACTCAAATTCTCCCAACTGACTTCAAAATGTCTTCTATAAATACATATATTTTTTAATTGAATCCAATCAATGCTCAGGCAGTGCATTAGAATATATCATATCTCTTGTCTCTTTTAACAGAACAATTTCCTTGCATGTCCCTGTTCCCCTAGTTAGTTTTAGAGTACCTAGTTGTACTAAGTATAATCCATATGTCCCCCTGTCTCATCAGCCTGGTATAATGATAATTGCGAAGAGTGGACTTTCCCCAAGTCTGTGCCACAGAGGAGCTGCAACCTCCCAGTTTCACAAATCTCTCATAGAAACAGCACCTCTAGTGTTAGGTCCCAAGCCCTCTCTCTGCTTGGGCTCTAACCCGATCCAGGAACGGAGGCTGTGGCAGTAGCCCTTGTTGTCCTTATTTCATTCTCTGCATAAAAAATATCTTCTTTCTTCAGGTCCTCAGAGAAATTCTATACAGAGCAAGTTAGAGCCCTGCTGTTTACCAGCTCACCAGTTCCTCCGACAAATTTTGATAGGAATCATACCCCATAAAAGAAGACATTACTTTTACTGTAACTAAAATGCTTGGTACATAATTTTTTCATAGTTTAAAAATAATCATTTCCCATTTATCCTATTCCACTATCTGGATAACCCGATTTGGAGATTTGCTGATGTGGGTCCTTTACAAATAAGTATATGAAATAGCAACATTTACAATGCTAAGATTTGTGTGTCATAAATGTTATATACTGAAGTGGTACACCGAATGTTTCTCCTGAAACCCATTATGATAAGCAGAATAGATATTGGTTCTGAATTACCATACCCTGGTATAAAATTATTTTAATGGTTATTTCTAGATAAATTACTGGTTTTGACCAATAATTTTCAAAAACTTATAGAAGAGGTTGAATGAGTTTTAGTGTCAGGTTTCAAACTGCCATGTGCTTTGATGGACTTAAAGTCTAAGGATCCATTTTTATAATACTTTAAGTATCTGTGAGCTCAGAAGTTCTTTTGGGCAATATAATAAAGTTACATAAAATATTAGTTTTCTTTTTTTAATATATTTTATTGGTTTTTTACAGAGAAGAAGGGAGAGGGATAGAGAGTTAGAAACATCAATTAGAGAGAAACATCG